CTTTTGGCCAAGGAAGAATGTCTGGCATTTGTTCGCCATATTGTATTCTCCGAATTGCCAGTGCTCTTCAGACAGGGAATGATTAGAAAATTTGCTTGCAGTTATTCGCTATTACCAATGGTACTCGATTCTCATGTGGAAGTTATTCACATTTTAACTTACGTACAGATAAAAAAATTTGAAACTAAACTTGCCCAAACCAATCTTGATTCTGTGGATAAATTCATGAAAGTAAATTTCAATTTTGAACCAGCAGGTGTTTCTCAGCAGGTGTTTCAAAAGGCTGCTTCTTCCAGCTTCGAGAAGAAACCTTGTAAATTTTGCTCCAGTACTGCTAATTAAATGCTCAATTGCTTAAAGTATCACACTCGTGAAAACCGCATTGATCGATGCAAAGAATTAAAATTTGGCTTCAAATGTACCAGTTCAAAACATACGTTCAAAATATCGTAAATCTAAATTGGACATTAATTGCAAATTTTATCAGAAAGGCAATCATATTCCTGCCATGTGATCTCGTCTACAACTTAGCAACCTGAAGGCTAATTATTGCCTTAACTCTGTAGCTAACTTCACTTCTTTCTTTTGCCCACTGTTACCGTAAAGGTATGTCGTGGAAAAGAAAAAAGACCACGCAGGCGAGATTTCTGTTGGATTCGGGTTCGCAGAGCTCGTACGTGTCCGGTGCTGTTCTGGAGAATATTAACTTTCCCGGTGATTTGGTCCGCTCTGACTATTTAGTTGATCATTTCTTGACAAGGGAAAGAGGAGTTTGGCGGAGGTTAGCTTGGCTCTTGATTTGAAGAAAAATGGGAGCTTGTTGCCAATTCCCACGCTGGTTGACTCAAAGTTTGAAATGGAGTGTGAAATTGCTTCCTTGGGCAAAGCAGCCAAGAATATTTCTCCTGATTACCAACTTCCTTATTCAGCTTTGACCCAGGATTCCGATATAGTTAAACTGGAAGGCATTTTGGGAATAGACATACTACAATTTATTGATGAACTTAAACTTGCCTTATATAGGTAAACCTTGCGATTTATTTGGTGAAATAATTCCAATTGGAAATATCGAGCATTTCTTTCGAGAGATGAAGCCTATCAGATGTATCAGTCGATAGCTCAATTGAACGAACGTCGCTCGTGTATCAACTTCGTTCTTGATCCTCAAGTTTGCCATCCTGATTCTTTGAGCAGCATTTTGAATGATCGTTCTGTCGAGGGTCACATTGAGAAGTTGTTTGATTTAGAGACAATAGGAATAAAGGAAGATGAACCTGCCTCTAATTCCGATAAGTTCTGAAGGATAAATTCTCAGCGTCTATTGAAAAGGTTGATGGCCACTATCAAGTGTCGCTTCCGGGGATAATGACAAGTTGTCTTCAGTTAATGTTGGGTTTGCTGCTTCAAGGGCTATTCTAGAAAACGTAATTAAAAATATGGACTCAAAGAGTAAACTTGCAGATAGTCATGATAACTTTCAGCAGCAGTTGGGAGATGGGATCATTAAGGAAATTCCTTTGCACAGTTATGACGAGAGCGAACGTGTGTACATTCCGCATTCGCGCCTCTGTCACAGAAGGCCCAAATATCACGACTAAAATTAGGTCCGTTCTAACCCTCTGCCGCCTAACACGAGTAACCGGAGCACATTTGTCACACAAGCCTACCCACAAAGAAGACGTTGCTAGTGATCCCAAAATGACTTGCACTGGTAGTTGCCGCCACGTACAACTTATAATTTCGAAGACGTTTAGTAATAAGAGTATCCCATTAACTCAGGCGTGCCTAATTCTTACTATTAATCACTATATACACGTTAACTCCGAAGCTACTATATTTATTACTTATTTTCATTAAGCTGTGCAATTCTACGCGCTCTTAAAACTGTACAAATAATACCAGAAGCTCTGGTATCAACATTTTTTCGCACCCTTTGAGCTCGTAGTTAAGTTCATGTCAAATTGCTAAAATTTTCTAGTTCTATATAAGTGAAACAGTCGAAACGTTGTCGAGCGAACCTTAAAATCAAAAGTAAGCGCGAGCCAAACTAAATTCTTATCAATAATAGCGATGGTTTTTGTATGTATTGTATAAACTGTTGACTGGTTTACCTTATAAATGAATTGGCGTTTAATGCATTATAAAATGTGAGAAGACCAGAGCTTGTAATTGCCTTCGAAACAATGAATTTTTCTCAGCCTTGTTGCTTTGGTTGGACATCAAATCTATGGATTAAACGCAGTGTGTGATGTTTGCATGATGAAATGTAAACAATTCATTTATATAATGTATTTTTTAAATGGGCATAAAGCCTGATATCAGTGCTCCTAACTCACTTATAAGAGTATGGGGCAGGATGTAAGTCAATGTGAGGCACTTGATTGATTTGATAAGATCCTAAAGTACGGTACTTGGATTAGGCATCAAAGTGATGATGTTCACTCAACTGATGAGGGACAACTTGCGATGTCGCACGTATAGAGTTAATTTATACGCTTATAACTCAATTCATGATGGGAACAGCGTGCAGTTAAAACAGAACATATTAACGCAATGAAAAATTAAGTGTTGAAATTTCGTTGTCGGGCGAGCGATATATTAGCGCTATGGAATAAAAGTTTAATGACAAAATCAAATCCTCAAACAAAATCCAAAGTTTAATGTTCGTATCTCGCGACCCATTCTCAAAATTCAACTTCAACATGATGAAACTGGACGTATATTACGGTACATAATTTCTCGTTCACGTAAGGAAAAATAGTAACCGAGCAGCGCCACTTAATTCTCCGGATTAGATGAACACGCCTGTGGTCGCTCCCGCAATGCCTCTGAACGCTCGTTTCCGTACGAAGTGCGTCATGGCACCTCGTTTAAAGTCCGTGAACAGTTCCATCACTTCTCATGACGGGTCTATAGTTAAGGCGGCCTTCGATATATAGCTGTGCCAGAACGTTCTGTCAATGTTCTACTTCTGGCGGCACTCACGAGCTGTGCCAGAATGTTATGAGTGTAATAATTGTGCTGCCACTTGGGAGCTTTGCTCCGAATTTTCCGGTATGTCGGTATCCGTGAATAACTTCATAGTTACCGATTATGTCTTAGCTTGCATTATGCAACAGATATCGCTTGGCATGTTTCCACCTGAGTATTCGTCATGTTCTGCGCCATGAAAATCCTCGTGTATGGTCCTGCTCTCTTCTTATTCAACTCTCAGGTGCTGTGAACGCTTCTCCAAGCTCTAGGTCGCTCTTAAAGTCTGCAATTGGTCTTTGTATGGAGCAAATTACTACCTCGCACGAGGGATTACATTTATGGGTAGCAAAGTTCGCAGGGATGCAGTTTTTGATCCAGCAGTTGAGTCATATGTACTACTATTGACGAGTAATATTGAGTAGTACATATTGTACTATTGAGTCATATGTACGGATATAATCCGATGCCGTACAAGATAATTCTGCTACTTGTTCTTAATATTTCTGCTACGTACTCCTGCTACTTACAAATATTTATTTCTGCTACTTACAACTTCTTGCTTTTACAACTAGCTTCGGCTTCTCCCCTCTATTACTGCGGACTACCACTTCTTACAATTTGTTTTTACCTGTTTTCTCAGTTCGTAAATTCCTTTGTTTCGCCCATTGCATTGTTTTGTTTTCTCTAATTTCAGAGAAAACAAAACAGGCTCAAAATTCAGGCTCATTCAATATTAAATAACAATTCAGTTATGTTAGAGTCACACCTCGATCAGAACTTAGCTCATGACCTGGCAATGTTGGAAAGGCAACAAATTCGACCGGAATTTCGACAGAAGTGATTATTCTATTTTTCCTTACAGCCGCTGTAGGCTGAATTTATAGACCCGTGCAAAACAGTTTACTGAACGGAGCGCACTAGTGACGTATCTTGAAATGATAAGTCGTTAGCAAATTAAACTGAATGATAGGTACGCGTGCATGCATGAGGAAGCATATAGGAAGGCGCGCGTGTCTCACTTTGAATTGCATTACTGCGAACGATTCATTATATTTTTGGCATTTCTTACCTAGAAACACAGGTATGAAATTATTAGCTACTATAAGAATTTGCGCAATGTTGAAATTGGTAAAGTTGAGCCCCGTAGATGCACTAGGCTGTTGTTTGCAAATATTTTGAGAGAAGTTTGAGGACTGATTTAAGTGACTTTTGCGAGAGAATGCTTAACAGTTATGTAAATGTTTTGTGATTGGGAATATGAGCGAAGTTTTAATACTGATTAATTAGAGTGAGAGAATGTTTCGCACTGCCGTACGTTGAAACTTTTTGGTATCCGCAATTGGTATGTGTGTTCGGTGCGTGTGAATGGGATAGAATGTTTTGGACATAGATAGCGGAAGAGGATATTGAGCGGTGTTGAATATTGGATAATGTTGATTGTTGAGTCCCAGTGAAAGTTAGAGAATGCTGGTTGTGGGTAAGGCAGAAAGTTGGGGTTGAAAGATGCAATTACTGATATTATTCCCTGTTCGAATTCGTGTTGCTAGGCAATTTGCTACATTGTGCCGCGTTAATACATTTTTATGTACATAGATGTGTAGCGTACAGCAATTCAAATGCCACTCCCTCCCCCCCCCCCAATTGGGGGAAGGAGGGGGCATTTTTTAACACACTTTTCAGATTCGGCCGTGTCTATGCCGAAGCTGTCAAGTGTCAAATGCGCGCGCCCGACGAACGCCGCAAGCTCGCTCGGTCTATGACCGGATTCTAATCGGACACTTATTTCGCTCGTACAACCAGAGCGTAAAGTGGACTTAATTACAGAGCCGCTAATTTACGCACTGGGCGAGCTAATGGCGTCTTCAACACAGAAGCTCTCCACCCTCAAAATTTCGCTAGGGGAGTTGATTGAGAAAAAATTGAGTGGCCGTCCCTTCGGTTTGTCAAGCATTTAGAAGTTTACGGTAAGGATTGTTGCTGTAAGTTTCCTAAGATTCAACAGATGAAGTGCTGAGAGTGTATTTCAGAAGTAATTACTGTAATACAAAAGTAAATATTACAGAAGTAAGTGTTTAACAAACGCAATTACTGCAATGTCTCAGTACTTCATTGACTGGCGGATCCAGTCATTGAAATGAGCAACTGAGGTGTACACGGCAGGTCGTCCAGATATACCGCAGCCCTCCTGCGTTCCGAAAGAAGTGACGGCCAGCACATAGTAACGCTGCTCTTTGTTCAGATTCATCACTGGGCCTCCGGAGTCGCCAGAACACGTGTCATCCGGCCCTCCACCGATGCACATCTGAATGACATTTAAACTTGTCAAGGCATCTCCATGACTTTTGTAGCAAGATATGATGTTCTACCTCCTTTAATGTACTTAAACGGAATCAAACAACTATTCATGTTAGTTTTGGCGCTTCACCGAAGTCATATAATACAGGTTATTGCTTGTGATTAAGACAGCATGTTGATGTGCATGTAATGGAATAATATTGCGTCATTACACTCACCTGCACTCCGTTAAGATGAAAATTTGAAGGAAAAACTCGTTTGCAGACGAACGGGTTTGCGATGTTGAGGAGAGCAACTCGCAGCACGTCGCTACCGTCACCAGTTCTGGTGTGGCCCCAGCCAACCGCAAGCACGGTTTGGTTCACCGAGACTTCTGAGCGCCCAAAGTTCGTTGGCGGCAGGCAGATTGGTTGAATATATTCTATGAGAAAGATTTCATTATTCCCCAATAGAAAATAGGCTTTGTTTGTCTGGGACTTTCTCATTTATTTTGTCTCATTGAAAATAAATATGCTGAATCCGCAAGCCTATTCATGCCTTTAACTTTCGCTAGGTATTGAAAATTTTTTCTGGCTTCAGAAATGAAAATTCCGTCAGTAAATCGACAGGCTTCACAAGTTCCATTTATCTATTGTATACATGATAAAGAATTACGAAGACACTCACGATTGAAATTGACCTCGCTCCTCAGTCTGATTAGAGCGATATCGTTGTTCAGCACCGTGGGTGTGTTAAACCCCGGATGCACGACCACTTCTTCAACTAAGACAGAAATGCGCTCAGGAGCACAGACGTTGTCCGAGCAGTCGGGGTCTGTGCTCAGCCTCCAGTCCCCGAGAACCACATGCGTCCTGCGAGGGCGAATCAAACGGATAGGCGTTTCAAAAAATTAGATGACATTGTTTTGCCAGCTAATCCTGTGAGGTGCGCTTGTTGTGGCGCAGAGCACGCATAATGCAAGGTTGCGAAAGATATTAAGTACTTTGTGTTTACTATTGCAGTTACTGCACAAAATGGATGTGAGCAAGCGTCTTGCAGCATCAGCGTACTATATTGCTTACATTATCCACTTTTTTAAGTAGCTTGACGCGACGCAGTGCGCAGCAGTCAGTACATAGCGTCCACTGATCAGCGATCCTCCGCACAGAACTCTCCGCTCCCCATTTTTCGTATCTGCAAGTGAGGGTAGCAAAGATAGTGAGTGACCGTCAGATGTTTTGCTACTGGTCTCAAATTTCGGTTTATTATTTCCAAGCTATGAGCTTCTATCGAGGGATGTGTTAAAAACTTGAGGTCATTTTTTTTTCCTTGTGAAATCCTGTACAGTGAGTAAAATACATATATGGCAGTAAATTATTTGTGTTTTGATTATTGGCAGTTATTCAATGAGGCAAAATTATTTACAAAAAATGTATTATTGGTATTCATATCAATTATGTAACCGTCATTGGCCATTATTTTTTCCTTGGATTGGACTGAATTGAAAAATAAACTATGATTTTTCGAGAGTTTACATTTTTTGCTGCTGTAACAAGCATAATGCTTTAAACTTGGCTCGTGTGATCGTTGCCACCCACGGTATTCTTCCAATTCGAAGACTTCAATGCTAAATTACCACGCGTTTTATCAAAAATGCACACTCTAATTTCTTTCGAACAGTGACTGAGTCATGTGGGGAATTTCAATGCATATCAAAAAGTTTATATTCAACGTTCGTTCAGGCACTGCTACTATAGCCACTCATCATCATGCATCAACAGACTCACGCTTATAATGCAGTGCAGCCAGCAGCACTGCTACTAGTCACATACAGTCTCACGCCTATAATGCAGTGCAGCCAGTAGCACGGCTACTATAGTCACATGACAGCATGTATCATTGCTCATACTCACGCTTATAATGCAGTGCAGCCAGCAGCACTGCTACTAGTCACATAACAGCATGTATCATTGCTCATACGCACGTTTATAATGCAGTGCCACCATCCATGGGTACTGCCCCAAGCTCGCCTCCCTGCCTCCTACAATGCGTGGCACACCCGTGTGTTGCCCGCACGTCTCCGGCAGCAAGGATGACATTGGCATACTTCGCTTCTCGCATATCTCAGCCAGGGACCTAATCCTGCCCATTATCGTGTTGTCGTTGTTGTCTTGATACGTTGCCTCGTTAGTCGGGCAGCAGACCTTGCAACGAACAGAAGTAGTTTAGTTCTTTCAAGTAGCTCGCGCGCAAATCGATTAAACGTACAATAAGATTTGAGAAAGATACGAGAGTGTACGTTCTATTATTATGAATTAGTCAAATTGAGTTTAAAAATACGATAATTCGCACTCCAATATAAATTTTTTATACTTCATATTGGCGTATTACATATTATATATTTCTATTACTTTGTAATTTGTTTATTATGCATTAATCCTAATAATAACAGCTATGATCGATTGAATTTGAATTTAATGTTATCCATAAAATATTTTTAGCCCTATTTGCGGAAATACTGAATTTGAATAGAATTCAAAAATAAATAATTCAATATATAAGAACGAATAAATGAATATGAATAAATCTGAGCTAAGTGTGACCTTCCTCCAAGGGAACGGTCATTACCTTCAAGTAGGCGCCCACGGAGCCGCAGATCGCGCGTTCCGCGTTCGCTCGACTGTGAGGCGCCCTGGCGTGCAGGGGGCACGCAAGCGCCGGACACTCGCGCAGCGGCACGCACGACTCGGCGGGGCACTTCGCCTGCGTCCGCACACCTGTACAAGTGTTCCAGTGAGTATTGAATTTTAAGGTGCGATTATTATAATGCATAGGAAAACTGGTAAAATTCCAGTACGTTTCTTAAAGCCTTTGACAAAGTTGACCATGAGGTGCACTTCAGCAAGCTAAGACTGTTGGGGGTAGTGGGAAACCTGTTAGGGTAGATCCACAACTTCTCTACAAATAGAGTACAAGCTCCTAAAGCCTTTGACAAAGTTGACCATGAGGTGCTCTTCAGAAAGCTGAGACTGTTGGGAGTAGTAGGAAACCTGTTAGGGTAGATCCACAACTTCTCTACAAATAGAGTACAAGCTATCGCAATTGGAAACTCGAAATCGAGAAAAGCGAGGCTGAACAGAGTGTTGCCACAAGGCTCGGTGCTTGAACCAATCCTCTTTCTCGTCCACATTGCCGATATTGACTTAGAACTTCCCCACGCATCTACATCATCATTTGCGGACTATACAAGAGTGCTGATGAAGATCACAGACGACCTAGCCTGCGAGAGGTTACGCCGTTACAGGATTACTTGCCTACAATCTATGATTGGGCCCTAGTGAATAATATGTAATTCAACGGCACCACACCAAGTTCGAAGTAATTAGGTACAGAGTTTGCACAAAGATGAGATAAGATGACACATCGCTACTTGGCATCGGATGGCACAGAAATTGAAGAGAAGCAACTTGTTCGAGATCTCGGAGTGTTGATGTGCACTGAAGCCACGTTCGATGACCACATCGAGGGAATAGTTGCGCGAGGGAGACAAAGGATGGGGTAAATCCGGCGAATATTTCGAACAAGAGAAGCAGCGCCAATGATTACACTCTTCAGAGCCCTAGTGCTCCCCACTCTTGCTTACTGCTCTTGCATTGGGCGCCGCTCAAGGAGGGTGTGGTGCCGAAACTGAAGGCAGTGCAGCGGACGTACATTCACTTACAGGATCAGCGGCATGAAGGAGCTGGACCTGAGCTACTGGGAATTAAAGACTGAAACACCCGAAACTGTACTCACTGGAGAGGAGAAGAGAGGGGTATATTATACTGTACACTTGGAAGATGATAACTGGACTGGCTCCCAACTTTGAATGTGAGACCCCAAAAATTGTGACGTGTTACAACGAAGGTAGGGGGAGACTGTGCAAGATTCACCATTCAATAACCGTGCCATGGTCAAGGTACAGATTCTTCATGAGAGATCACTCTCCGTAGTAGGACCAAGGCGGTTTAACGCCTTACCAAAGGTGCTGAGTGGAAGGGAGTATACCTTTGTGACTTTCAAGACTCAACTGGATAAGCTTCTGAAGAAGATCCCTTATAGTACAGTAATGGGAAACTACCCTCAGCGAGTGACAAACAACAGCATCTTGCATCAGCTGGCCCAAAGGAAGGCAAATAGACGGAACACGTCCAACGTTACATCCGGGACCCAAGGGCGGGGTGACCTGCCTATCGACGACTCGGATACGGAGGACGACACCTCCTTTAAAGCACGCCTGACCCCTTCTTCTGACCCCTCCCACCTTCATCCAAGCACTTGTCTAAACAGCTAAAACTTAACCATTGTTGATGTGAGGTTGACTGTTTATTTATATTGATATGAGTGCGACGAACATGCTTCTTATTTGTGTTGATGTGAGTGCGATGAACTTGCTTCTTATTTGTGTTGATGTGAGTGCGACGAATATACTTCTTATTTGTGTTGATGTGAGTGCGATGAACTTGCTTCTTATTTGTGTTGATGGAATGGCGATGNGATTGCTCGCTGCGGTGAGGACAGTGTGATATTAACATGAGGGCATTGTGAGATTTATATTAGGACATTGTGAGAGAATGTGTGGATAATTATAGAGAATAATGTGAGGGGAGTACGAAGAAAATGTGAGGGGAGAACGAGGAAAATACGAGGGAAGAACGAGGACAATGTGAACGAATATGAGAACAATGTGAGGGAATATGTGAACAATGTGAGGAATATGAGGACACTGAGAGGTAATATGAGGACATGGCCTGACTCACCGCCAATGCGTGACGCTGTCAGCAGCAACAGGGTGGCCATAGCTGCGTTAGTTGCGGTAGAATTCATTTCTGAATGAAGAATCAAGTATTTAAATCCTGTTGTGTCAACGTAAACTGAGTTAAACAAGTAGTCAAGCTCTGCGAGTATAAGTAAAAATGAAGTTAATGAATGTAAACAAAAACGATGAATATTTAGTCTTTGCTCCAAAAATTCAATGGCCTTAATTCATTGGAAGAAAACGATTGCCTATATCGTTTATAGCTATTTTGATGATCCAAGTCTATTATTTCGGATAAGTCCGGATGCGGTTACACTCTCTTAGATATTCAGTGTATCGCTATCTAATTACGAAGTCCTTTCGAAGGATCGATATCTAAGTGTAGTGTATTATATCGATACACTATTCAGTGTGTCGATATCTAATTTTTTGAACCCCTGATTCTCGCTATGATCATCGTAAAAATAAAGAAAAACCCAGCCATGATGGGCCTCAGGCTCCTCAACACGGATTCTAGATCGAGCTTAGTAGCTCGGGACGGAAAGATACTCAAGTATAATTTGTGATATGGCATTTGAGAAACAATAGAATAGATAAATTTTGTCATCGGAGAGTTTAAAGCGACGAATACTGGAACCGGAAACAACTTGAATAACACAATTGATGTTGTGTTATAAGAGTCTTGATTAAGGATTTCTTGTATATGAATATATTAACTAATTTGTCTCTAATAACGTCGAAAGCGGGAAAATGTTGTGAATAAAAATTAGATAAATATCAACATTCAATCATCAAATCATCCAGTTATATGGATCAACATTTCAAAGGAAGAATTAAAGTGGGTAAGGTCAAATGACGAGCTAAGTTCGTGGTCAGGAGCTAAGTTCTGAGGTGTGACTCGTTTGAATATTGCTGTATCAATGAACTCCAACATAACTAAGTTGCTATTTAATATTGACTGAGAACTTAGACTAATTGAATGATCAGGAATGCGACTGATAAGAAAAAGATGAAGAAAAATTTTATTTACCAACAACTGAAAAAAAGGAAAAAATTCAAGTTTGGTACAAAGTGGTGAGGTGTGACTCGATCGTTTGAATATTGCTCTATCAATGACCTCCAACATAACTAAGTTGCTATTTAATATTGACTGAGAACTTAGACTAATTGAATGATCATGAATGCGACTGATAAGAAAAAGATGAAGAAAAATTCAATTACCAAAAACTGAAAAAAAGGAAAAATTCAAGTGTGGTACAAAGTGCTAGTCTGGAGTGATAGTGGTAAGTATCCAAAGCTAGTAGAAGTAAGAAGTAGTAAGTAGAGAAGTAAGTATTAGCAAGTAGCTCCAGTACGTAGTAGTAGTAAGTATTAGTAGTAATTATCAAAGAGAATTTGAAGTAACTTGAATGACAACGGATTATAACTGCCTCCTTGAGAACTTTGCTACACGCAAAAGTGAACTTTTGAGCGAGGCGGTATAATTGCATGGTTCCACACAAGCGCCAACTCTGAACTACGACAGCGACCTATAGAGACGAAAGAAGCGTTCACAGCACCAGAGAGTTGAATAATGAGCCTGCGCACCATATGCGAGGAGTTTTAAAGTGCAGACTGGGACGAGACAAAACGGAAAGATTTGCAGGAACTCCTGCATCAGTTCATCGATTCTAAACGAACACGTAACGAAGACCGTGACGTGTGTCTGACGGAAAAAAATGGGCATCCAAACGTGTGGCTCTGGCGACCGCACGCGTGTTTATCTGAACCGGAAACGCAGCGCTGCCTTTAAACTCTAGGGTTTATGCTCTATAAATTTTAATGCGAAAGAGAAATTAGCTATGTCCAATTATGTACTATGTCTAATTATGCTATATGACCAATTATGTACTATGTCCAGTTATGTACTATGTCATATCATGTAATATGTCATATCATGTAATATGTTCTATTCTAAATTACGTTCTATGTCCAATTATGCGCTATGTTCAATTATGCACTGTGTCCAATTATGTGCTATGTCCAATTAAGTACCATGTCATTTATGCACCATGTCTAATTATGCACTATGTCCAATTACGTACTATGTTCAATTATGCACCATGTACAATTATCCACTATACATAAAATTAATGGAAAGAAATGCCGTTAGTCATGAATAATCAGGATGAAGACTAGAACAGCACGTTGAGTTGAAACCAGCTCCGGGCATCGCCAATTATAAGTGCGCACTCCGCGCGTTTAGCATCAGGTGCATGCGGAATATTTCGGATTTGCATTTACTCATAACGCAACATTCCATACGAGTGCAGAACCATATTTTTGGACGGTATTTTGATAGCCTCTTGCAGAAATACTGCACTTAATAGCCGCTCAATACTAGTTTTCATTCCTATTTGCATGCCTCAATGGAGTTATAAATGTAGTTCATAAGTAATGCTATATAATGCTGCTCTTTCCTGTCGGATGGCAGTTATCGTGCAATACAAATTTAGACGCAAACGCTGCCTCTTATTGAGCTCATTCAAGTGCGACTTACAATAAATGTTCAAGCATACAATAATTGACGTTGATGCTTCGATTACACACAAAACTTTGGGACCTCATTGGTTGAACATGGTGCATTACATTGAATTACGTCATTCCAAATACCCTATAAGTGATGTAAAAGCATTAAATAGACATACATTTTGCACCTTACCCCTGGAGTAAGGTGCAAGGCCCCTGGAGTTACCTTTACTACCTTACAAGGGGCCTTACATGCGCTTATTGCCACCAAATCCATATATTATTACACACATTAATTCAAAGTTTGATCATTTACTGGGGAAACCATTCAGTAGTTTACACAATACCTACAAGAAAAATTGATAAGATTACACATTCAGCTTGGCTCGCGCTCAAATTTGATTTTTTTGATAAGCCTGATCACTGCCAGACCGTTCCAGTTATTGAACTAAGACGCTTGAACAATTTTACATGAATTTAAACGCAAGCACAACGGTATGAAAAAATTATAAAGCGGAATTTCAGTTATTCTTCGTGTGGTTTGAAGGGCATACAAATTTTCCAGCTTAACGGGTAAACATTAAATAAAGGTGCAGAGTTAATGTGCTATGTTGAGACCATCACAACAAAAGTGACGATCACAAGTACGCCATAGTCAAGACGATGGTCTTATTACTAGCAGTTATGAGCCTCCTTACAACTCCATACGCCATAGTAAGGACGATAGCCTTATTACTAGCAGTTAAGTGCCCTCCTTGCGACTCCATACGCCATAGTTAAGACGATAGTCTCATATTACTAGCAGGTAGGTGCCTCCTTACAACTCCATACGCCATAGTTAAGACGATAGTCTTATATTACTAGCAGGTAGGTGCCTCCTTACAACTCCATACGCCATAGTTAAGACGATAGTCTTATATTACTAGCAGGTAGGTGCCTCCTTACAACTCCATACGCCATAGTTAAGACGATAGTCTTATATTACTAGCAGGTAGGTGCCTCCTTACAACTCCATACGCCATAGTTAAGACGATAGTCTTATATTACTAGCAGGTAGGTGCCTCCTTACAACTCCATACGCCATAGTTAAGACGATAGTCTTATATTACTAGCAGGTAGGTGCCTCCTTACAACTCCATACGCCATAGTTAAGACGATAGTCTTATATTACTAGCAGGTAGGTGCCTCCTTACAACTCCATACGCCATAGTTAAGACGATAGTCTTATATTACTAGCAGGTAGGTGCCTCCTTACAACTCCATACGCCATAGTTAAGACGATAGTCTTATATTACTAGCAGGTAGGTGCCTCCTTACAACTCCATACGCCATAGTTAAGNTTTTATTAATAGTTCATTATAGAGGGTGGGCCAAAAGTCACTGAACCATTTCAATTTTAAATAACTTGTTTTAACAGTTACATATATGCATGTAAACAGTTATATATTTAGTATCATAAAGTAAAGGCCTTGGAAATTGATTTTCATTCAAAAATTTAATTTTATTATTATCACAAATTTACTTGTAAAGTACTTTGGAAACGTTATCGTTAAATGTGAAAAATAACATCCTGTATATGCCTTCCATTTTCTGCTTCAAAAATTGCAGCTCATTCGATTACGATATGAATAAAGTGCAGGTAATTCTGACTCAATTTTATACTATTATATTGAAAATAGCTCGTGTTTTGAAGTAGATAAGAGACTGAGCTATGTTAAGCAATTAACCAGGATGTTCGGAAAATTTCTGATCCGGGCTTCAGGAAAGGTTACTGCGAAGATGCAGAACGTGCTCAGTCACTCTACCAGCGCGGTCGTATCCAGTTCCTCAAGTTACTTTGTTATACCTTAGTTTCCTTAAATCAATAAATACGAGGTGTTTATCTGTTGTGCACAACTCTTGCTTAGTTATACTTTTCAATTTTGGGGTGCACACGTTTTCACTTCTTTTTTTTTTTTTTGACACTTCGGCCAGCACCTCAAATTGCCTATTTGACTTGAAACCTTAAACCTTTCTAACTTTAACTGTTAAGCTCTAAACCAAAAACCATAACATTATTAACATGACTGGTCAAGGTGGTCATTCTCTATACTAAGGTGACCTCTATATTCGGAACTGCCGCGCGTTATTAATTAAGTTAAAATTAAGTTAAACCAGGAAGCAGCTTTCTAAATGGATTTCAAACTGCGTTGAAAATAAAGAAACTGCCCCGAATACGAAGCTATAAAACCCTACAGTGACTAAACCGCAGAGCAGGGGTTGAAAACCGTCAGAGCGAGTTTGTGGGGTTTCCACACAATCGACGGTGTTGAATTAAAGAAATAATTAAGGAAACTTCTATTTTAATTTACTCAACAAAGTTTTGAGTTAGATTTTAAGAGAATTTTCTTCCTTGTAATGCGGACAAAGTTCGGTGGTTAAGAGCCGAATCTCAAAACTCAGAATACGATAAACAAGAAGTTGAAGGTGTCGAGTTGAAAGAACATGTGACCAATGGGTGGCCCAGTGGTATGCAGGGTGGCCCAGTGGTTACAGTACAGAGTACCAAGATTGGCGCAGA